AGCCGCTCGCCCACCACCCCGCCGCCCTGCTCTGCCAGCAGCTTGCTGCGGCTCAGCGGGGTCACCTCCGGGGCCTGCCCCTGCAGGACAGCAGCGATGTGGTTCAGGAGATCCGTGAAAAATTCGGAAACGCCCTCGTAGCCTGAAAAGAGGAAGCACGAAGGAGAGAAAAAAGGCAACTAAGTCATTTTCCTAAGTTCTTTGATAGGCCTCCTCTATCAGTTTATTTCTTGAGCTCTTCTTGCCCTCCAAGTGATAATAAATCCTCTTCCATGACATCATCTTGAGTGACTGCACAAGGAGATTATCATGAAGAAGAACAGAGAACCTTGCTACAAAATTGCCATTCTTCAAGGGGAAAAACTGCCACTTTTCAGATTTATTTTTTTTCCTCCCAAGTATATATGTATATACATAATTTTAGGTATATTCTGCCATTTTTTGTCAAGTCCAGTTTTTCTCTAAGTTACAAACTCTGTGATACAATATTGATCTTTTCCATCCTGCTTCCAGGCTTACCACAGCAACTAGCTCTAATGTAGAGTTTCCTCAAGGGTCTCTCCCTAGAAATTTCCCAGCAATATCCTCAGTTAGAGAAACCTCAGAGGCCAGCAGGGCTAGCTTTGTACTTCACAGAGAAGGCAACTTCCCCCCGTGTAAGAAGAAACGTGATGCTCGTCTAATCTAACCTAACTTGTCACTTAAAACACGTGCCCTGCTATGAGCAGTGCCTGGGAAAACACTTGGGGGACAATAAACATCTGTCAATGTTACAGAATTTAGTAAAAACGTCAATCTTCTATTTCAGTACTGAAATCATCTTTCTGCATGCTCTGTTAAGTGATTCCAGACAATTTACAATGCTGTGTTTAACAACAAGTTTCCTGGTTAAAAGATTCACTCAAATACCAGGAGACATGAGATTTTTGGTGACACAAAGGGTGGCAGCAGGCATACAGAGCTATTGGCTCTATTTAAAAAGCTCTGGTAGAGGCAGTTTTATCATTACATTCATATTGAAATTGAACCAGACATGCAACGTATCAGTGCAATGTCCTGAAATGGATCTTAACTGCTATTGCATTACCTAAACTTGTTATCTATGTGATTTAATATTTAGAGGTGTCATACGACATTCAGTATGTTTAATGGGATAGGCTGATTGTTTTAAAATGTCTGTAAAAGTATTCTGAAAGTGACCTAATACAGGAGACTGAAGCAATAAGTAACAGTTTAGAAGTCACATGTGAATAGCACATATCCACACAGCAGCACATGAGGAAAACCAGAGACCACAAAGTAAATGCACATTTTAATAACACTTTCAGTGATGTGATCCTAGGACAGAAGAGTCCCTCTGATTCATAAATAATTCTGTTTTAATCTCCCTTCTCTGGAAGAGACCTTAGGCAATAAAAACCTAGTTTCCTGAAAAATTTAAGGTAAGAGGATAATTTAACCCGAAAATAAACGTTATGATTTTATGGTGTATTTATAACCCATACATTTACCAATTAACTCTTATTTAGGTTGCTACATCGCTTTGGATTTTCTTGCACTTGGTCACAATTCTCCTAGCTACTTAACAGGTCACACAAAACATCAGCACTGTGAGACAACAGCTCCCAGTTTTCCTTTCTCAAAGGCCCTTTGACAGGTTCACCAAACAAATCGGCCACTTCAAAATGTGAGGTTTCCCAGTGCCCCGCGTGATAATCCACTGGTCGGCAGGGGCAACCAGCACCCTTGCAGCTGGGCATGGGAGCCAGAACAAGATCTCCATCTCTTTGACAGAGGTGCTTGTTATGCTTTCTTGCTTATGTAAAAGCCATGGGATTAGCCTTCAAATCTACTCAGAGTGCTTCAAACACCCCGGGAATAAGCCATCTCCATAGTAACAGCTTTAATATTCAGTGAGGAGATCCACAATACCCTAGGGTGTTCCGTGTCTGCTCCCTGAAAACAAACCAGCCTTGTTTGAGGGCACCTAGCAAACTCACAAAGAAGTTGCTGTAAATATTTAATGGGAATAAGGTGGTCAGTTATCCAGTCCTGAAATCAGCAGATGTTACAGTGTAAGGAAGCTGTACTTATCAGGCTGGCTTCCTCTTCTCTGCATACTGGGTGGTAAGGCCTAAGTAATTCTGCTTGGTCACTCAGAAGAAACTTCACACTCTTGTAAAAAAGAAATAGAAGGAAGGGAGGAAGAGAACCAGAGTGTCCCAACTCTTGAACCACAGGATGCCTGGGAAATGCTGCAATTCTGTGGATATTGCCTTGCTCTGTTCACTGGCTGGTGCTGCAGGCCCCTCAAAAATGGCAATTGTGGGTATCACTGTGCTGTGACGACAACAAAATCAAGAAGGGCAGACTGAATAACACTTCAGAAACTACTGGCAATGAATTCAGGGTTCATGTCACACAAGAAATCAGTGGGAGGATCTAAGTTTTGCACGCCTCAAAGCACAAGTTCCATGAGTCGTGCTCCAGTAGGTACTGTCCTAGCACTGTCCACTGAAACTATTTTGGAAACGCCTGTGTACAGAAGGCCTGAACTTTGCTATGTTGAAAACAATCTCCAGAGCTCTCTGGCAGAGCATGGATAGGAAGGAGGTGCAAACAGCAATGCATCTGAAAGCAAGTACCTGCCCCTCTGAGCTTTGTGGAGTCAAGAAATGCCTATAAGCATTTTTTAAACTAGAGATGCTACCTGCCTGATTTTTAGGAGGCTCCCCCTGCTCTGGCATGCTCTCTGTTCTTCTGCATCTTCCCCTGGGCAGAAAGAAATGGACAGCCCATGTCTTGCATTTGCAGCAGTGTATTTACATACACAATGTGCATGTTCAGAGCTGATGCTTCCAGCTACCACATATGCACACAGGACCAGCAGCTCACCTGCACTGGTGACAGGCTGCAGAATGTGCACGCAGGCTGCTGCTTGGGCTGGGTGAGCTCAGCCACAGCCACAGGACTGGTTTTTCTCCCAGTTACCCGAGGTCAAACAAACACAAAAACCACATGCTATGTGACCGTGCCTACAGTTGAATATCTCAGCTGGTAACCACTGCTAAATATAGTCCTGGTGGTTTCCCATAGAACAGGAGACATCAATAGGCCTTTCGGATATTTATCTTTAAAACCTTTTTGAAGAGTTGCTGGTGCTAATTGAAGAGGTAACACAGTCCTAACAGGTACATCTGCTCTCAGTTCTGACATTAATCTCAAGATGACATCCATGGAGTGGCAGGTTCAAATGAGCTTCAAGCCTGGTAAACACAAAAGGCAGCACACGAGAAAGCCAAGCCTCTGGGAATCTGGACAAGGCTTTGGTCAGGCCTGGCCCCCAAGCATTAACGTGAGCTTCATGGAAGAGGCTGTGCATGCTCTTTAAAGGGCACCTCTCCCTTTCCCAAAGCAGTGGTGCAGAGATAATGTGGCAGTTCCCCAAGTGTCTAACCTGGCTCCAGTTCAGCTCCACTGCAACCCTTGCAGGATAGGACGAGTTGAGGAAGAGGAACACGGTAAAGCCCCTTCCTGAGACTCTACTGAGCCAGGAACGGTGAGATCCTACTACTGATGCAGCCCATTAGTGACTCTTTTCAGCAGGGCTGAATTTATACTTCTCACTAGCAAGGTGGTGGCTCCATCAATGAAGCCAGCCCTTAAAGCTGCTCAGCCTTTAACGACACCGGCCCTTGAAGGGAAATGCAGCTGCCTGGGCTGAACACACTTTTGGCCAACAGAGTATTCTGTGTGTGGCAAACGAAATGTTAAGATGTAACTTTTCTTCTGTTGCATTTTATCCCATTGCTTCTTCTCTGATCCCAGCAGCTCTTGAGAGCAGCTCATCTCTCGGTTCTGCTAAATTTTGCAAATTTGAAGGTAGTTTTGTCTACCCCCAGCCTTCTCCTTTCTGTGTATCTGGTCCCTGCTGCTATCATCTAGACCTTCTCCAACCAGTATTCAACCTATCCCATGGTGATAAAGCCTGTAGCTACCTTCACATGTTCACCACCAAAAATATCCTGTGCAAGACACAACATAGACCTGAGCTTCAGAAGCTTCCCTGTTGCTCTCAAGCCTCCTGCAAGGACTAGAACACTCTATTAATTCAGTATCTCTTCAAAGACAAATTTCTGTGCAGATTGAAACACAGGACTTGGGCTGAATAACGAAACCCATTGCCTTAGGGTAGAAGTGCAGTAGAGCACAAGGCTGCTGACAGTTCTGCTAAATTCTGCCACTAAATAGTTAAGTTTGACAATAGTTGTTTCACAATCTAGACTTTTCAACATTTCAAAAAACAGAGAAATTTCAGTCTGTGCAAAGTAGCAAATTCAAAACAATACTTGGGGGTGGGGGGGAAAGCCACAAAACAAAACCCCAAACACAAAAAAAACCAAAACACTAAACCAAACTGCAGGATTGCAAAAGAATGTCCTGCACCACCGACTTCCAGACCTAGTGTCTGAAAAGTAACCCCACTCATAAACTGACATGGCTCCCCCTGATACCCAATTTAGGTTGTTTCACTGCTCCTGGCAGAATATTGTTTTCATAGGTCCAAAGACTACATCAACACCATATGGTAGAATCAAGCCGCAAAGTGATCTGAGAATAGTGGGGCTGGAGTTTTAAAAGGAAGCCAGTCACTGTGGAGGTAAGACAGGCAAGGCACGACAGGACAGAACTGGGACTGGGGACCTGAATCGAAAGACTAAGAACAGCAGGGGCTCAGGGCAAGATCTCTGTGTGTGAGGATACCTCAGCTGTACTGAAAACTCAAAGTCTTCAATGACAGGTTAAGCAAACTATGTAACAGCCCGTGTATGTCTCTGGAAACAAACATCACTATTCAAGTAATGGGAGGAGATTCTCAAAGAGAAAAACCCCATGCAAAACAGCAACGAATGAGAGGATGTATTCCTTTCCTGTGTGTCACAAGTGACAGACTTCCTTATACACACTCACAGCTTCTTTTAACAATTCCAGTGGTCAAGGAGCTTGTTTAGTTGTTTCCAAGACATTCATTGCACTAGAAGGAGCAGCGGACAAATTTACCTGTTTTCACATGCTCTGTTCTATTGCTTTACTCCAGAATGCACAGTGCAGCTATAATTCTATTGTCTTATCCAGATTACTGGTGTTGCTTTTGTGCACAAATGTCTTCTTCTGTGTAAACTTCCAGTTTACACAGAGGAAGACTTTTTCAAGAGAACAGTTTGCTGCTTCCACCCCCTTAACGCTTTTAATGGCACACAGTCTGGAAAACCAGAAATCTTAAAAGGCATTCATAAAATGGAATTCATTGCTCTTCTTTTCATGTTCAGAGTGAGGGACAATCCCAGAACAGCGAGTCCCCAGCACACAGTCCCATGCTTCAGTTCCTGGCCATCCCCCTCTGCAGGGAACGGCATGACAGCCATGTTACAGCTAACCACTAAAATTGTATCTCCTAAAAGCTGATACTTCAGTAGCACATTCCGTACCTAGATTAGGGTTCTGCCCTTCTCAGAATGAACAGTGTCTGAAACATGTTTCTCTGGGAAAGTGGGAGGCAATGATGTGAGACACCAGCACCAGGAACACTTCACACCAAGCACGCACTGCACGGTTCCACAAAGCCTGAGTGGAAAGGCCTTTCTCACCTGGGAATGCATTTATGTCAATGACTGCATGCTGACCAGTCTGATTGTTAATGATGATGTCAATCCCAAAGAGGGAGACTCCCAGAGCTTGCCGCAGTGCCTTAGAGATTTCCCGGATCACGTCGTCGTTTGGCCGCTCAAATACTCCTTCGATTTTATCCAGCTATAGTGGAAAAAGAAACATTACTAAGGGACTCTGAAACAGTCTTTAGTGGAAAGATTGATTTTCAGAGGTTTCTAGGTGCACACCCACCAAATCTAATTGCAGAGAACTGGTGGCACGAAACACAGAAAGACAGCAAAGAGAAACCTCTCTCGTAATTCAGAATCCTTTCTGTACTGGCAGATCCCCTACCTTAAGGCACCTAGCTCTTCCTCTTCATGCTGGTGCAGCTTCTCAAGAGACAGAGCAGTGCAGGAATGAATGGAGAATCAGACTCCCTATTTTAAGTACTAGATCTACACATTAAAAAAGACAAATACAGCTGGTGTGTTTGTAACAAATGTTCTGGATATCACCATGTTATTTTGATGTAGATTAAGGCCTATGTTAAAGGGCTGATAAGACAGACTCCTGCTGTTCATTGGAGCCACACAATACAACTCAGCTGATACCTTCAGGAGAGAGGCTGATTCAAAGGAGATATCTTCTATTTAGGTTTTCATGTGTAAGTTACTCTATAAATGTTTATTACAATGAATAACTCAGATTACTTATGACTGGAAGACATGATTTTCTTCACTTTTAAACATGTTATGCCGCAGAAATGTGCTGGTATGCCAACAGAAGCATGTATGGAGTATGTATGTGTATGAGAGAGATGGCCACCACAGGAGCATACACTCTCTCTAAGTTTGAAAGTAAATTTAGGCAAAAAGGGATTTATGACCAGTGCAATTATAGTTTTAATACTGAGCATGCCTATCAGCGTTGCACACAGCTTAAAATTTAATCATTGCCAACTACAAAACTACTCCCCAACAGAGCTTGTGAAACAGAACAGAATTTGGAGACACAGATTGAAAGGACCCAGTCCTGTAAAGTGACTCTCAGCAGTCAAGTGCCTAGGAACTTGTTGGGATTCATCTGTGCCAGGCTTATTAAAAGGACTGGTAATGCAAGCCTGAGACTGTGCAGCGTGCTGGCACTGCTGGACTCGGGAGACACCCAGAAATGGTCCCGTGGTCCCAGCTCGGGCGTGCTCACACCACAGACAGCTACTGGCCCTCTGTGGCCCTGCCCAACGCAATTTCTCTGCTTGAATTTTCACTGTTCGTCTTTCCTCACAGAACTGAGTCCTAGAAGGATGATTTGTGTTTATTAAGTTCTCTGGACAGGAAAAGGCCAGGTGTTTGCATTCAGAACCTCTTTCTTCCCTTTGCCTAGATTAGCTCTGGGGAGTTTAGGCCTGGCAAGCAACACAGCCCTGCTGCATCAGTGCTTCCTCACCGGAGCTCGGTAAGGAAAACCAGAGGGGGACACAGTCATGCTGGTTCGTTGTACCAAACAGACCTCAGCCTGCAACACAGAAGCAGACAACTTGTGAAGGAGAGTCACTAGCTGCTAGCACTTTGGTAAGAAAGGACTAGATAGTTTTCCAGCTGCGCTAGAGGGAAAAAGACCAAATATACTTACTGCTGTTAAGACAGATGAGGATTCTGGTTTCGAAACATTGTGGCTGTTGAAAAATATTGATTCTCTGTCTGGAATTAAAAGCAGGTTGTAAATAACTTTATACCAGCATTTAATTTCCAAAGGATTAGTGCAAGGAACAGTAGATGGCACTGCAGTCCCAGGAATCTAGTCTTGATGCCTGCCGGGCAGCTCCCTGGGCACCCATCCCACCCACAGGGCCTCGTCTCCTGCCTGCTGGCCCTTAGCTGCCTGCACAGGCAGTGACCCATGACTGGCTCACCCATGGTTTTTGGACCTTGGATCACAGATAAATAGGACTGCACAGGGTTAATAGAAAACGGTTTCCTTCTCTTCACCAGAGCCAATTAACTAAGCTCAGTTAAGATAATGAAGTTAACTTCTACTGATTTGCTATACTCAAAGTGACAGTTCCACCAGTGGGAAGGCATGTGACAGAAGAGAGAAGCTGTGTTCACTGCAGGCAGTAGTAGGCTGATAGCGCTCAGGGTACACTGAGATCCCTGTTAACCTAGGGAGAGCACCATCACCATGGAGGAAAACAGTAAACTTCATGCTCAGGACCTACCCTCCTCTTAGAGGCTCCACAAGAATGGCATGAGACATGCTGAAGTGACAGAAGCCACTAAAGTTCCACAGTGGAAATCACTGGGAGAATTGTAGCAGCACCTCTTGCCCTGTTCCCTCTGTGCTGAGGGTTTTAATAGGCGGGAGAAATCTCCCACAACAGATTCCCACCACAGCAGACTGATGGCATCATACAGACAACTCACATGGGAACACCTGAACCAAAGTTTCAGTATGCAGGTGGCATAAGCAGTATTTCTGCTATGCTGGTCTGTCTGAGTGGACAATTAAGAGCAGCCACAGGGCCACATATGATAAAGACGGGGGAGATATAAAAAGCAAACTCAAATTCTCTCTGTGTTTGGACACCACCATATGCTCTTCTTGCCTTTCCTCTCATTTAGAAAGGCCCTGTACTTTCAGACAGTCAGCTCCTGGAGTTCCTCACAGCCACCACATCTGCTTAATTGTCACATCTGCCTGGTCAGGTGCCTGGAGCATGGCCCCCTTAAGGTCTCCTGATGAGGGTAAGCAAGCCAGACACTTATCCTCATCTGCCCACAAAAATTATTTTTATGTGGGCTCCCAGACAGCTTTCAAGTCTTACAACACATAGGGATATAACCTAGGGCATTTTTAGAAAGCTGCCTTAAAATGTTCCCTTCCAGTAAAAGTGCAGACCAACTGTCCTAATAGTTTACATGAACACAGATTCTGGCCTGCCTAATTTGATGGGGACACTGAGCAGACCTCAATGTACATAAAGGCATACGTATCTAGAGACAAGGACTTTTACTGGGGTCCTACTATACATGCACTAACAAAATACATAAATGTGTCCAGAACACAATGGTGACCATACATGGACATACACTAAAAGCAGCAGAAACCACTAAGAAAAGTGACAAGAAACTGACAGTTGTTCATTCATCTTTTAGCTTGATACCTGCTCCCCACTAATCTCCTCCATCTCCTGGACTTGTCTGCTTGCAGGCAGATCACGTTCCCATCCGTGTGTTGCTAATTCCTCTCTTTCACAGAAGTTCTCTGGAAAGCAGCTTTTTCTCCATAAAGGAAATTTAAGTAGTCTTTAATGAAAACCCTCCAAATGCTGCTTTCTACCGACATATCAGAGGATCACTGCCCTCACTGACGAATCCCTTCCTCTTTACCCCCCAACACAGCTGGTGTCAACAAACCAAATGACACTTCCCACCGAGGTTTAAAACACTGGGCCCTCACATGAACACGGAGGTTCCTTTAGGGGAGAGCAAAAGTAAACTTTGATTTAAACACACATACATAATCAAGGTAAAAACAGAGAGAGGAAGTTCTGAAACTATGGAATCCAGGAAATTCTCTCCAAAGCACATTTATAAACAAACTCCGGAACAAATGACACATGAGCTTACCGTGAAGTGAGAGAACTTCTCTCCCTATCCCCCTCTGCATAGGATATAAAACACTGTTTCCCACAGGTAGGACTCAGGTTACCATTGCATAAATATTTACTGTACGAATGTCATTCGTATGTACTCCAGAGCAGAGGAGTTATCTCCCTTCCTATTGAAATTATACAGAAGAGGAAACGTGGTATGTAAGATCCAGCTGCCTACACTTCAGCAGCTTTTTCAAAGATATTTTTCTCTTGAGCTGTCTGCTGCCAAGGCTCCAAGAACTGATACTTCCTTTTAAACTGGCACAACGTACCTGAGATTCCCGCGGAGAAGTTCTTTAAAGAGGGTCTTTTCACCACCGTGTAGGACTCCCCGACCACGAAGACCTTATACAGCACGGCGTTGTGGTTGATGAAGCTCTGAATGACGCAGGGGGGACGCACGGCCTTCAGGCCCTCCTGGTTGAAGATGATGGCCATCTGGAAGCATGCACGCACCGTTGTGCACAGGTCTGGCAAGCATTGCATGCCTACCCCCCACCTGACTATGCAGCAGAGGGAACATCTACCAGCCGATATATATTAACTGCATATGAATTACTTCCCAGCAACTAGCCCTACTTCATGACATTTCATTTCACTGACACAACTCTTCAAACACTACTGGCACCATAACTTCCATTTCCAACCAACATTTTCTTCTCAACCCTTTGCAATTCCATTTGCTGCTTTCAGTTCAGAAGCTACTGCAACTACAGACAGAACAAAAGGGTAAAATATTTGACCAACACAGATGACAAAGTCTATATTGACTAAAAGTGTGTATCAGGAGGACAACAGCAGGAACAGCTCTGTGTACTAAACATACGAGTCCTTCCCCACAGCTCTGCTTCCTATGGTTTGGTTCAATCCAGTTGCAGAGGCCTAAACACCAGGGTTTCACCCACATCAGAGAACTATTTTCAGACTCTGATAGTCTTGCTGCTAATAAATGCTAATGATTTTCTTGGCTTGGTTTCACCCCAGTACTATAGGGCCTGGGCGATGAACAGCAGCTGCCTCAGAGAGTGTGAAAGTGATGCTGGTAGGTGCACAGAAGTACTCTGGTGAGCCAGCACGCCTTCAGCACACGTTGCACTGCTCCTCCCCTCAGTCCCTCCATTACCAGGCTTACGTCCACATGTAATTGCCATACCTGTGGTGCCCCGTCTTGCACATCCGTTGTTGGCTGCTATGGCTCCAACAGAGAGCCAGCAGCAAGCATCGTGCTGGCACAGGTGTGAAACTACTTTATACCAGTATGCCCTTACAAAGCAGTGAGGATAAACTTAGATTTGCTCTCAAAGCAAATTATCAAAGCCTTGAAAAAGCTGTGCTCTAGTTATCTTAATACTGACCTCTCTTCATTACTCCAGTGATGCTGGGCCTTGTTACCCACAGTGGCAATAAGAAATGTTGGTAGCCAGGTGAATCAAAGTAAGAACTGTTCAAGGCCAAGGAACCTGACAAATGTTTTATCTTCCTTTCCTCTGGGCAAAACACCCTCTCACAGGGATGCTTTGGTTAGACCACCTTCCCCTCTGAAAAGCCTTGAAGACAACAGCTAACCATCCATGTCTTCTTGAGCCTGCCACCTACCTCAAGTCAGTGCAGGGTGCACAACACCTACCAGAAAAGTTCCTGAGCTCTAAAACACCATTTTTCTCCTTATGTCTCTCAGTATTTTTTTTCTCGGCCTGCTTGGGCCTACTGTTTTACTCTGTATTCAACAGGTTAGAGAGGCTAAGTGAATTCTTTTGGGTCTCACAGTGACTCCACAGCAATATACAGAGTAAAAATAGGAGCTTCCTGCCTCAGCATGGCAGAGACAAGTTGCACTGCTGGCTTGCTTGCTCTTTCCATATGCTTCCTGTGAGTGTTCATGCTTTTTGAGATTAGCTGTATCTTAGTGAATTCAGGGTCACGAGAAGGATTCTACAAAGAAGCTTCAGCACTTTGTCCTCTCCCTCATAGGTTATATATGATCAGCTGCTCATTTGATGTACGCTACGCTTTCAGTCTGAATTTTTGCTAACACCTCAGTTTGTTTCAGTAATATAAATACTAACTATAATACGTTTTGTTGTTCAAAAACATAGACATAGCAAATGATGGAGTGATTACACATTCATAGTCAAAAGCCTGAGCACATTTTTGTCCTTATTCCTCCTTATGTGGTAGACCACATTAGATCATTTAATTGTCTGCATGCATGCACAATGACTCAATACATTAAGGTCTTCTGAGCTGAAGTCAATGCGTGCATTCAATACCTACTTGCAGCTGATATTCTTACTCTGTCTCATTATACCAGATGCTATCTACCTGACAGCACAGAGTGAATTTGTGAGTGGTAACAACTTTTGCAAGAAACCTACCCCAAAAAGCTGAATTGTCCGTCAAGATGATTCACAGTAACAACATCAGATCTCTTTCATCTTTCACTGGTGGCAAGAAACACTGCTCTCTTCCTCCTCCTGCACAGACTGCTGGCATTATAATATCTACAACATCACACTGGCAACAGCCATGCTGTTCCTGTAGTGTTCTCTTCAAATATTAGTTAATTAATCCCCACAAACAAACATAAGATGAGCAGGTACTTATCTTATTTTATAAATGTGGAAACCCAGAGCTTATCTTCTCAGCACAGAGCTGAGTTAGGCCACTGGAAACCATGTGAAACTTCTCTTCTGCAAAGCTCTGTGCCAACTGTCACATGGACTAGCACACAACCCATGTAACTCCCAGGGTGTTGTGTTATGCTGGTTCACCGAGGTGTCTCATGGTTTTTGGCATGCATAAATACAGCTCCAAGAATTTGCTTGCAGGGTGCACTTGCTCTTTCATCTAGCACAGACCTGCTGTGTCTGGCAGTAACATGGGAACAACACTTTATATCATAATTTCCAAATAGCATTCCTCATTATAAATGCAGAGCTCTTTTGAAGGCAAACCAAAACATTTGGCACCAAGAGTTTTTACTGACAATGTCCTTAAGGAATTCAGTCTCAAAACCCACAGTGATTCTCTGCCTTTTCATTCCTGTCTGCTCAACACAGAAAAAGAGTCATTCTGAACACTTTTTTTTAGGTAATGTGTCTCAGTGATGTGTTGTGGCAGCTTTACTGAAGGTCAGTTAAGTTGTGACCTGCTGGCAGCCAGGAAGGACAACCTTCAGGCACCCCTTCTGTTCAAGTCTAATGAACAGTGCTGACAAAGTGGGGTTCAAGTGCTGAGTGACTTTTAGTGCAGAGGCCATGTAGAACTGTGGAACACCGTAAGAAGACTAACAGCACCTCGGCTTAACCAGCTCATGTTTTCACCGCAAAATGTGGAGTCTGCCAGCCCTGGCTGGCACCAAATCCAAATTCAAGCCTGTACCTTCAGGCGTCCCTGTTAGCCAGTACTTGAACTTTCTGAACAGTCATCTTACAAATAAAAGCAATGCTGGTCAGGCTGTGTTCTAGATCCAGTGTCAGCTCTGCAGTGGGAGTATCTCTACAGAAGATGAAGCTATTTACCAAAAGCCAAAGGAGCCATTAATAAAACAGGCAACAATCTCTTGCTTCTAGAACTATGCTCCATGTTTTAGACAGGCTGTACTATAAGCAGAGCATTTATTCTACACTTCTCTTGCCATTATTGACCATAAAATAGCAATTACAAGACAGTTCCTTTCTGATCCTAAGTATACTTTTGAATCACTCCTTAAAAGTCAATAACTCCAAAAGTGACTACTACTACTAACAGTGTAAAGTACCACTAAGACTTCAGGCTTTTTTCCAGAGGTCCTCCAAGACTCTAGTCATAAGTTCCTGTGATAAAGTGCAGCTTACAATGGTCTAGTAGTCTAATTTTTGCTCAGCAAACGGAATTCTGGCAGAAGACTGACTTATGTTTGCACCGTATGAAAGAATAGTTTAGAAAGATTCACCAGGGAAACAAAGTCCAAGCCTGACCAGACAAGCACTGAAGGATTCATGCATTTCAGGTTGCATTTGCAGAGGAACTCAACAGAAAAATCAGCAGGGAAGCTGGTGTCTTAAATTCAGTAACAATCCAGTCCCCCAGATGTTCTTGGGAATGATAGCAAAAATTTATAGTGGCTGTTCCAGAAAAATAATAGGACTGTCTGTTGGCTTGTTAAATGATCCAAGCTACAGGCCTGCACAAAAAAAAAAAAAAAAAAAAAATCTTCCTGCATTTTTAAAAGGAAGTGCTGGTTCCTCAAGATTTCAGCTGTAGCCATTCTGCTGTCTACATTTACATTTTACTTCAGGGCTTTCAGCTCTCAGAAATACTACGGCAACATACTGCACGTTTCAGGACCAGCTGGGAAACCTGGACCGATGACCATGTTGTTAACAAAGGAAACCAGGCATTAGGAGAGCCAGCAGTGAGGGCTGGATTCTCAAAACTGAGCTGTGGTAAGCAGGAAGGCAGGAAGCATAAATGGAAAAGAACTAAAACAGGACTCAACTGTCCCAAATTTAGAGGAAGCTAGGCTCCTAGGGAATGCACTCCTTCCAGGAATACACATCCATTTTAACTGCATTTGCCTTACGGGAAGGAGGGAAGGCAGATAGTTCTACCAGCCCTGTTCTCCCCACAGCTCCAACAGTGTTATTACAACTGAATGTGCCTAGAAACCGTCTTTATTTCTTATTCCCTGCTTCTCGAGGAGAGGAACCAGCTATTTCATCTGCAGCACAAAACCATTTCTCACCTTTACCACACACAAGTTGAAAGAGAAACATGGTAGAGTGGAAATTTCACTTAGTATGACCTCTCACCATAGGAGAGGCTGAAGGAGCTACTTTGCAGACAGAGCTGACTGAAGACTACGAATTGTTAGAAGCAACTAGGCAACAGAATCTAGAAACTACTAGAAACAACTTTTATGTCAAGAGGCTGAAGTCATATTTAACTTGATTTCAGATAAATCTGGAAATATAATGGTGTAACTAAAACCAAGGGAGAGGCGGAGGAAGGGAAGTTGCTCGGGCATAGCCCTCACTCTGCCAACTAAAGCCCCAGCCAAACCGCCATGGGGGGAATGGAAGCAGGGGGGTTATGCTGCCCAAGTTTTTAAACTCACCTCGTGAGAATTGGTTCCATGGGCCACTCTGGTTTTACAAACTGGGTAAAAAAAAAAGAAAAAACAATGTACCGCTGAAACAGGACACACAGACCCCTTATGAATCTGTTCCCACCCACACATGCAAACACTGGAGTTCACCAGGCCAAGGCACTGACTGTACCAGACACCAGTGACAGTCTCTGCTCAAACAGCATCCTCAGTCACTGCAGAGCTTGGCTTGCAACCAAGCCCTGTCCTCTCCACTACTGCCTGTAACTAGGGTTCAAGCAGAGGTCATTATTAGGACTGGGCATAGGTGCAACCCATCATCTCAGAAATTAGCACCAGTACTGGTAATGCCATCCTGCCTACTCAGAGGGCATCTTCCCAAGCATCTGATTTTGCCTGAGGCTGAAGTTACTTTACGGTTACCATAGAGCCACTGTCCTGAAAACAAGGGAACAGAGACTCAGTGTAAACCTTCTTCTTTTCCTACCTCCTTGGTTTTGGGGAGGAGCGGGAAACCAAATGGGCTGAACCAAACTAAGATTCAACATATTTTTTGCAGGCTACCATAAAGGGGGATAAAAAAAATGTAGAAAGAGCCCAGCAGTTCTTCCTTCTCCTTTATATTCCTTATCTGCTCTGTATATTGTGATTCTCACCTCCATCCTAAAAACAGTAAGATGAAAGAAACAACATGCTCCTGCTATTATGAAACCAGAGAAGAGCTGAAGACCTTGGGACTCACACAATGACTAGAGCTGATGTTATTTATGTGTTAAGCAAAGGAGATGAAAACTTGCAAGTAGTGAGGCAGCGGATAGGACAAGATTTCTTTGGGGGTTGTTAGAACAGTTAAATTGCCAGGCAGGAAGACAGGCAGCTATGAAAGGCAGATGACCTGCACTAGAGTCCAAAATAAGTTGGTAACTTGACATTTTGGAAAGTGGTATATGACGCATGCTCTGGAGAGCAGGAGCTTTTTTAAGGAAGAAAAAAAAGAGTGAGAGGAGACAGAAAAAGCACTCCTACGATACCACGTTACATCAATTTTCAGTGTTATTTTCTAATTTTATCTTCATTTAAAGAAGTTGATTCAGGCATTCTGAACACATGGGCTATGCTGCTGACTGCTGAGTACTAGGCAGCCTGCATGAGAGGACAATGTCCATGGGTGGGGAAGGTGAGTCAAAGCCATTCAGTGGGCTTTAAATTACGGCTTCAAAAGCTAGCTACAGGAGACCTGCCTCACTTGGGAAAGCAATGGCAGGGAGGGCAAAACATGCATCTTCTGTATGACTTTACCTCTCAACTTTACAAATGAGGCAAGCACCAAAGGAACAAACACCAACTAACCGATTCTGTTCACTTTATACTGCAAGGAATCAAATAAAGGAATAAATTAAAGCACAAGCCCCGCAATGAAATTTGCTACAAAGCACAAACAGTTCATGGCAGCTGTTTGAGGTTGTGGGCCCTTGAAGCCTGCTATCTCTGGTCATTTTTTACACTCTTTGTTCTACCGTAGGGGTGGGTGAAAAAAGGAGACAGTCTGCAAGGCAGTGATTTTCTCAAGAATAATAATGAAGGCAGTTGGCAGGAGAAAGTTCTTGCGCAAGTTCACGGCCAGAGGCTGTGTTAGAACGATAAGCACTTCCCAGGAACGCAAGTTTACTGTAGCCAGGTGTTTAAAGTAAGAAACATAAATAAAAGGCAACGTAAAAGCTGATGGGGAGGAGTTTTCTTCTGCATCCCAAGCAGACTACTTCAGAGCATTTGTTTCAGGAAGGTTTTAACATCCCTGACACTTTGGCAATCAAACCCCACACTCCTAACAGTGCTGGTTGTGTCTTGGGGGTGAATGAGCAATACTGAGAACCAAGTAGAAGCACCAAGGAAAAGCCCATGTACATACTGAATGGGAATGCCAGTCCATTCTTCTCTATAAGCTGCAAGGTATCTTCTCCACAAGCACTTGTCAGCTCCATAAAGGGTGGTGAACAGATCCTCTCATCTGCAAAACAAACAAACAAAAGACTCAAATGCAGATGAGATGTTTAGCTTCTCAGCTGCATCATTACCACTCTCTCCGTAATAACTGCTTCTTGCTAGCCAGCTTTACTTTCATAGTTGATATTAAAGCACCAGAAAGATTATAAGCCAGACCTGAATTTGGGTTTCTGGAAAGAGTTCAGAAGATGAAAGGCCCAACTTTCAGATCATCTAAATGAAAATACAAAGCCTGTATTTTCACAGTTAGGCAGCAAAAACAATCACTTGCTTAATACGTAACTGTACAAGATTCAGCCAGTGAGGTGAAAAGCAGCTGGGACCTTAGCTCTTCATATGACGCCTTCAGGCATAATTCTCTGAAGCATTTTACAAAAACCCGACTGGTCAGCAAGCGCGGCTGGAGCAGGCAGCCTCACAAAGCTGTCGTTACTGCAGGGCCCCTCGGGTGGCAGATTCCAGTGTGGATTTACTTCAGTCAAGGTGCCAGCCGTCCTGCTGTCCACTGGGACCTCTTAGCCATGAAAGCAGTGCTCATTTGGTCCGGCAAAGCCAGTCAGAGCACCACTGAGACACCTTGGCAAGACTGCCCAGTGGACTTTGGTTACAGAAAAAAACCATGGGAACCACAGTAAAATCTAACAGAGCAGGCTTGCCCCACAGTGTTTCAGACAACACTGTGCTTCTTCACAAGGGGTCATGGGAAGCCTGAAGTCAAAACACAGCCCTCTTAGTGACTCGGTAGATTGAATTGCTCTGCGACTCACAACCTGTTCATTGTAGGAGAACTTTGAGTCCTACAGCACTTTCCCCTGCTCCAGCTGTGTTCCTAGGGGAATCAAAGAACTTGAGCATGAATTTCCACCACCCTAGAAGGCTGGGTTGCAATTTCAAGAGCAAACTGAACCTTGGCTTCAGCCATGGTTCTAGGACAGTTCAGTGGGCCCAAAGACTTTCAGACAAAAGCTGTGTACACATTGACCAAGTCAAAGCAAGAACACCACCCAAGCAACCATCCAGCTTCTCAGTGAACACCTACTTAGAAGTACTCCATGGAGTTTCAACTGTGGCCAGGTTAACTCTGGAGCCACAAATGGGCTATAATGCAAGTTAGCTGCACGGTACTGAACTGCAATTCAGAACGGGACTGCCCAAACTCACTTCTAAGACTTATTTCAAGAGAAACAGCATGACACCTTCCTCCAAGACATAACTGGAGACCAGCACAAATGATGGGATCAACTGTATCCGTCAAACTTGAGTCACAAGTTTATAGCAACTAGCAACTTGAAAATAAGCAAAATGTGACTGTTTTTGCCATCCACAGCACAGGGAATCCAAACAGGTGGAGGCTATGCTCAGCAGATGGCGCACAAATGGAGAGGTTCACATAAACAAAACTCCAGCAAAACTATGTACTCTGAGAGAGCCATACATCCAAAACCCACCTTATAAGCACTGTTTAGATTAATGCCTTTAGTTTCATTGTAAGTATACATTTATGCATGTTCCCTCACACAGAAGAGAAAATAGAATCACTGAAAATAACAGAGAGGCAGAACTCTGTTTGGGTCTACACAGCTCAGTGCATGCTTTGGCACTCTGAGACTATCTGGGAAAGCCGTCCATTAGCAATACTGTTGCTATAAGAAGTTATCTGTGAAAAGAAAAAGACTATTTTCATACAATCTAAAAGGAGCAGAAAGATTGATGCTTTGAGGTCAACCTCAAAAAAGCTAAACAAAATGTCCCAGACTTCAAAGCTTTCACTTTGCTGCTATCTATGAAAACAGAAAATGGCATCCAATAGTGACAGGTACTGTAATATTTACAAGCCTTTGCCAGAGCAAAAGTTCCTTAGTTGGATGAATTTAAGGAATCAAATTTAGTTTACAGATACTTGGGAACAACTTTGGCTTGGCAGCTCTCCCACCCATATGCTTAAGACTCACAAATAACTTTGCCTTCAGAGTGCAGATCCAGAGGGACGTATGGTTCCACCTCACTTCCCTCCATTTCTCTTCCTTGCAAACAGGAACGGGAGACAGGGAGGATTCATTGTTCCTGCCAACTACATGATACTTGCATGGGGAGATGAAGGAAGGGGTAAACAGTAAATTCTTTGACTTTGTACATAGAAAAGACCACCTGGATCAACAAAAAGTAGCAGAGAAGGCTTAGCAACAAAAAGTGCTCCTGCTAATTTGCACAGCACTGGCTTTTTCTCCCCCAGGAAGCCCACTGAAGCTTCTAAAACAGATCATTAATTCACAGACTGACCTGAGGACAAACAAACCCTCACTCAACACAAGGTTTCAGTACAGCCTACAGCTAGAAAGCTGCTGCTCTGAGTTGAATTACACATATTGCAATTCTGAAAGTAGCTTAGTTTTTGGTTTTGTTTTTTTTTTTTTTAAAAAAATCTTCCAGCTGCCAGCAATGATCTTGTCACCAAACTCCTGTTATCAGAGTGACAGCAGTCCCAGCACACCTTCTCTGCACTGAGGTCCAGGACAGAGATCATTCAGTGTTCGAGGGTCAGTCTCAATACTGTTTTAGATCAGCATGGAACTACATCATGGGATGCACAAAGTGCAAACACTCAGTGGCACAATGAACCCTCCCCTCTCCTCCTGCTGAGGTAAGCTGCTTTAGAAGGATCTTACTGAGCTGTGGTCAGGTACGGGACCCTTGGCCACTCTCACTGCTTCTTCACAAACTTCACAAAAGTGATCAGTCACCACAGGAATCCCTTGTCAAAAAGGACAATGATGAATATACAAGCAAATAAACATAAACAGAATTCTCTGGTGAGAATGGGTGACATGAGTCTGGCCACACTGCTGACCCCTCATATTGACACTACAGCCTAAACCCTCCAGTCTAAAACCAAGCAAACTTCTCACTCGCATCAGAGAGCCCTGGTGTGGAGGAAGCACTTCTACCAAAACAGTCTGAGAACTGCTGAAGTGTGAGGCACAGCCATGGCACACGTCCCACGTAACTGCATGGGCTGTGCACGTGTGCCAGGACAGAGCAGACAGGGGCCAGATGCCGCGCGAGGAGCCGCCACTGCTGCTCCCCTGCCACCGGCCCTGGGACAGGCTGCTTCTGAAACAGCCACCTGTCCCAGCTTCCACCCTTGGCTACCTGCAAGTGCCCTCAGTTCCCAAGGGATTATTACAAATGCACGTTCTATGCTGTCCAGTTGGGATCTGAAACTAGAATTCAGGGACCTTCTCCCTCCCTTTGGGTGCATACACTGAATGACACGATAAACAGATAACCACAATTATTAACCCTCTCTTCATGCAGCCTTTACTGAACCAAAGATATCAACACAAAAAATCTCCCCATAAGTCAAAGGACTGCTGTGATATAAGAGGCTGTGCACTTTTATAGGGCACACTTGGTGGTACTTCTTTTTCTAAGTGCCTGGTAGTGTCTTAAGAGACCTGGCTTTGAAATATGGCCAGGACTCCAGGTGGATCATGTCAGGTCCAGAACCGCCAACTTAACTGCAACAAGAAAAGACTCTTCAGATCAGAAGAGGGTTCAGCTCTCACTTCAGACAAATACCAAATGTATCTGTAGCATTTCTGTTGTTAGAAACAACACATTGTAATTAAATTTAAAAGTCAAAATACTGTCACTGTGTTCCTCCCTCACCTTTGTCTTTGTTTTTATTGTATGCCTCAGCAGTAACTTTGTGGTGTCTGCTTTCTGTATTTTCCTTATATTTTTCTCCTTTTTCTTTCAAGATCATGTGACCAAATCAAGAGTTCCTTATCTTTTCTTTTCCTTCCTTCCTTTTTTTTTTTTTTTTTTTTTTAACTTTCTGCATTTTCTTTCCCCCTCATCCTCACTCCTTCTCTATGCTGGTCTTTTTTTCAACTGCCACTCTGTCACTCTGTTCTTCCACTGCTACCTACACTTCCATCACCTTTGAATGGAGATCATGCCTAGGATCATGTTTATCGCAAACACAAGGAGAGCATCTACAGTGGAACCTCGAAGGATAGCAGGGAATCTGGCACTAACAGGTCACAGGGGACAGGCAGCAATCACCTCCCTCCACACAGTGTCAGGGCACTCAGCTCTGGCATGTCCTGCTCTGGGGTGAGCTTTGTCAGAGCACTGCCCCTTTCCCATGAAGCAACAACATGATTATGAAGGTGAAAAACATGACTAATGGAGGCAAGTTTACAGGATGAGTAACACAGCTAACCAACAGGAGAGAGGTACTCAGACCATTGTGTTGGTGCCAAGGAGGGGATTATCCTGGATGAAGTTCAACAACAGCGACCGGAGCCATGGGATGTGAAGTTGAGGAAGATGCAGACTAAATACTGGCTCAGGGAAAAGGTTTTCTGGCAGTGGGAACTGGTGGAAAGTCTTATGCTTAGGACTTGCTTTAGTGAGAGATGCTGAGCAGTGCTTCTCTACCCAGGGCCCGTGCACCACTGCTGGACAGACTGCCAAAGAGTTACGGGGTACCCAAACCTCACAAAAGAAGGTGGCACAAGAAACCCAACACTGAGCACACACTCCCATTCAGCAGGTAAGTGAAGGAGATAGAGGAAAAATAAAACTAACACACAGCTGTACCCAGCTGAGCCAACTCCTATGTGATAGTACATAGAGAACACTGTGACAGGACTGTACAAGACAGTCCCTGGATAGTTTTCAATAAGGGCAGATGGTGCTTTGCCAATGGTTGAGGCTGGGCTGGCCACTAAATGAATGACAGATGCTCTCTATTAAGCTCTCCCCCTTCCCAGAAGGGGAAGGGAAAGGGAAAAAGGGAAAGATACTTATGGGCTGGGGGAAAAAAAAAACAAAAACAAACTAAAACAGCTTTAATGAAGCAGTTACAATAAAAAGAAGAAAGTAATATTAATAAGAAAATAATGAAATATATAGAAATGTATAAAAAAACCAATATTGAGCACCCTCAGGCTACACTCAGCAGTAGACAGGAAACAGACTCAAGAGCTGGATTCC